ACTGTGATATACTGAAAACTCTAAAATAAGAAAGGTCTCCTGAAAAGGCATTTTCATTCACATAACACTGAAATCTTCACCTCTAGTGCCAAAAAGTCAATACAAGTTGACACTACATTTTGAGAACACCAATATTTGCTATGAATCAGTGTTCATGAGTGCAGATCAAGCTTACACTCATACTCCACTACCTAATCATTACTTCCTTCTTCCCAAGAAGGGCTAAATCAGAGAGCACGTTCTTTTTTTTCCCCCCTCCATGCTCATGAAAAGGGTACAACATCATTAAAACAATTTCCTTCTTCAAAGCTCAAGCAATCCAGCAAAAAGAGAGGATGAGGATGGTATTAAGTTATGCTGCTTAACTGCAGAGGTTAACTGTTAGAAAAAATTAAAGCAACAAAGCTGCTTAAAGAGACAACCGTAAGATAGAAATAGAATGATCATTCCCTACATTCATACTCAATGTCAGAAATAAGTTCTGGAACAATATCAATGTAATTTTAAAACTATTTAAAAGACTTTTAATTTGTTTACTTATTTTAAACAAAAGTGTTTCTCTGCATAGCACACTTCCTATTGCATAAAACTTAAGATATTTCTTACCTTCCCCTGAGCTTTGCCTTAGTTACAGTTTCCCTAGATAAGCTTCCAACTATGCTGCAAAAGAGAATTATTGGTCAGATACCTGGGCTTGACCAAACTGTTTGGCAGAGGCCTGATAGAGACTGAGAGTGGGAACCAAAAGACAAAAGCAAGCTTTCCATTCCCATGATCCTTGGCCCAATCAGTGATTGAATCAATCCTCTAATTTACAGCAAAGAAATACTGCAAGTTGTTGGCTGGATTAGTTCTCCATGGCAATGTCCCTGACTAGAGATCACCGCAGCACTGAATTTCATTGTCCTTCCCTCTCTCACCCAAAAGTTCTGTGTTACGGCCAGGCTGAGAAGAGGTAGCACAAAGCCAACAATGCCAGCCTCATGTTACATCGCACTGCTTGGGGATTTCTAACCTCACCCGTCCTGTAAGAGCAGCTTTTTATCTCCATGCACCAACTAAGCATCACCAAAGTAAGAATTAAACCTTATCTTTAGAACAATTTTAATGGAAACTATACTGTACACCATGCAACCTATTGCTATAATGCAAGTTTGTGAGCAGAGAAAGAACAGAAGAAAAAAAGACAACACAAGATTGAAAATTAAGATAAGTATGTTAGTTTAGATTAACACCTTTTTTTCCCCTCTTGTGCAACAGTGTTGTGGACAGTACACAAATTGAGTCAAGGCTGTAGAAAGGATCATGGTGGCTGGCAGTAGTTGGCATTGAAGTTTTGGGTATGTGCTCCATACAGATGTGAAACCACAGGAGACAAAACTGAAGGCCCTTAAAAATTATGTCACCGAAAGCCCGAGTTAATAAAAAAATTCAGTCTTCAAGGGCTGTAACAGATGACAATATCTTTAAAGTCAGCAAGTGTTTTTTCCTCTGAGAAGGACAACTCCATTGTTTAAAACACCACTAAGCTAGAAAGCCTATGCATCCAGGTAGCTACGCACACAGTTATTTAATACTACAGTATTAGAAGTTATTTTATGTTACAGCTTATAATATGCAGCTGTTAACTGCAAAATTACATAGAGTGTACTAAGGTAGAAAATAAATATCTAGTTAAGCAAAAATGGCCTTTATTAACAATATTTTTAATTTTGCTTAACCAAGTTTTCCTCCATGCCTTTATTAGAAAAAGACAAAAGCTTTGTTTGTTGAAGACAGTATAAAGCTTTCTCTTCCTGAAGAATCTTGCAAGGTTTTAAAAGTTGGGAAATCTTTGGCAGTTCTGATGCTTTTGATTCTACCCGAATAACCACAGTAAAACATTGACTAATACTGACAACCAGGAAAACGATGCTTCTATGGTAAATATTCATTGGTATGTGCTATTAAAGAAGAAAGTGGCTTAACAAATCAAAAGATCAATTTTCTCACCTCTCTCTGTACCCCCTCCAACAATCAACCCACTCCTCTTGCCAGCAGACAGTATAAATTGAATGCCACTGCAATCTATACTTTTAATAGGCTAATAGACTGTTACCATTTCTGGATACTGGTTTGAAGCTATCCAGCTCCTGCCTGGAAAATTCATCTACACTGTCTCCTGCCACAAGCAAGGGAAAAAAATAGCTGAGCAATGAGATAGCTAGAGAATACAGCATCAGTCAGTCCTGATTACTGCAACAGTTCTCAAAAATTCCCAATTTTTAAAACTGTGCAGAAATTTCCCTATCTTCTTTTTAATCCAAACACTTTTTATTCAAATACCAAATCCAGTATTTTCAAACAAACTGGATCATGAACTGGCTTAATTTGCTTTTGAAATTATGATATAAAAAAAAACACTGGAGAACCACAGAAATGCAAAATTTTACCTACTTGAGAAATTTCAAATTATAGACAAATAAATAATAACAAGGTACAGTGAGCTGTGTACCTGAAATTCAGTATTTATAAAGCTAGTGGATGTGCAGAAACATGAGGATCAGAAGCCTGTAACAGAAAGATGCTTTGAGGATAAAAACAAAGTGAAGATTAATTTCTTCTTCCTCCTCACAAGGATCTAGCGTATTTGCCTTCTGCATTCCAGAGCTTAGCACAGCTTTGTGGCTATACAAATAATGTGGGTTTTCTGTTCTCTTAACAGGCATTCAGAATTCCTTGTTTGTTCTGTATTATTAAGTCAGGTAACAGCAGTGATAATGATGCTCCACCCTTTGACTATGAAAGGAAGAAAGAGTAATTCACTTACCTGGGAAAATAGAAAGGACAGACAACTGGAATGAAATACAACCAATCGGGCCTAATTAAGGCAGATAAGACCCAACTGGAGTATGCTCTTTTAGCATCACGTTTAGATGAATAGCTCTACAAGAACCAAATAAAGCCTACCTCTGTGAGGTTTGTCATCTTGCATTTCATTCTAATACTCTTCAATATGCTATGGATTAAGAAGAGCAGGACTGCTCCAAGGCATCAGAGCCATAAGTTTTTAATTCCATTTAAGCAAATGACTATTAAAGCACATTTATGGAAGAGAAAAAATCATTTCAATCACCTAAAATCTATTGCAAACTTAGGCTTTATTTTTACTTAGTTATGCCAACACATCACAGCCAAAATCAAGAGCTCTGCTGTACAAGGTAAGATGGTCCTTCCTGAAAAGTTTACAATTCAAATAGATGAGATGGAGAAAGCATGGGATAAAGAAAGATAACCCTTACTTGATAACATGAAAATTAAGCATCATTCCAAGATCATGAGGAAATAAATTAATTTAACTAAAAACTGAAACTAGATTTCTTGAATAACATAAGAGCTATCCTTTCTTTGTGACAGCTGTTCTGTTACATTTCAGATTTATTAGCCACATTAGAAGACAACAGTTCCTGGAAAACTGACATAAAAATGGGATGCGAGTGAAAATACTCTAAATTCTTGCAGAATCATATCAAGGCAGCAATTCTCTCAGGACAGAGCTCAAAGAATATATTTACTATTGGCCCTCTACCAATATTGTATGTGTTACTGCTCCAGATCCACTTACTGTTTGATATTCAAATGAACAGGTAAGATAAGTGAAGCTCAGAAAAAAAGAGTAATTTATCCCAGGATACATCTAGAGCTTCTTTAGCAAAAGCATAAGGAAGCATAAAGGATGACCTTCTGTAAGAGCCTGAGCATCCAAAAAGCACTGCAGTAAGGTCTGGCTGTATCCTCTTGCTGTAAGATTAAGCCCTGTAATACAGTCTTTATATTCACTGCAGAAGAGTTTTTCAGCATGCATGATACACTGCACCCCATTTCAGCAGAAAATGTACTCTGTGATGAAGTAGTCTAAGTACAATCCAATGAAATTGAATTAAAAAAAAAAAAAACAGCTCTTAAAGAATTGAGTGCTGCTACAATTTTACAAAAATCATTTTCACCAGTCACTCATGTTGTCTGCTCCCTTGGTTCACTGAAGTGACCTTAAAATGAAAATCAAGGCATAATATAAAATGTTCTTTTCTCCAATGGTCAGAATATTCAACCTAACAGATACAAGAAGTTAGTCAGCATCACGTGACATGACTAATTTTTCCTCTCAAGTTATTGCTGATAATTGCACTGCCCCAAACAGCAAGGGGTACAGAACATTATTTCATACAAAGTGATTATTAATTGTCATGTCACTTTAAAATTTCATTTGTTAACTAATAACTAAAAATTTGATTTTTTCATAGCTGCTTAAAATATAATCAAGAACGACCACCTTTCTCCTAATACTTGAATGTCTGTAATCAATTCCACGAGCTTTTGCTCTTTTTCTTTTGTTTTGCCATCTGATAGATATACTTGGACATCTAGAAGCAGAATCATTTGAATGCATCAGAAAGTCCACAGTAAAAAGTTTCTGTATTATCATAGTCATGCTGGAAGATATGAAACAAAACAATGTCAATACTCGTGTTGCTTTATTTACAGTTCATCTCCAGAGCCCTTTCAAACAAATGCATTACTTTCTTGAAGGATTATAATGCCATGTATTAGGCAGCAGCTGATAACGTATGGAGTAATAGCAAACTTTTGCTTAATACAAACACCAAAATTAATAAAAAAAAATAATGGGCAAGTTGGTGGAAAAAGCTGTAAGGCAAGACAATTTTTTAATTAAAAAAAATTGCATACCAGAGAACGTTAATGGGATGAAAGTCCCCTGAAACCACTTTTACACATTCTGCACTATTTTGATGCCCCTGCTAAAGAGAACTGAACTGTTCTCACTCAGACTTGGTTGAAGACCAATTCTTTTTACAATGTCATAGCAAAACTTGAAATATGAAAGTATCTTACTCACCGGATTACTTTACTCACTTATTCCTAACCCCTCAGAGTTATAAAACTAGAAGCAGAGAAGTCAAAATGATCACAAGTCACAAAGTAAAAAATTTCAACAATACCTTTAACTTCTTCATAAATGCTATCATCTATCGGTTCACCGCTCACTTGTCCAACATCATCATATTCCTCTTCCTCCTCCTCAGGAATAGTATTAGATTCCATATCTATGTAACAGCAGTTTAAAAAGTTAACATTCACTAGAGAAGAATGCCTAAGCAGAAATTTATGCAAAATGAAAACACGGTTGTTCCACATTTTTTCTTACAACGTTCGTAAAGGAGAACTTTCAAGCTAAATAGTATTCTTAGAGAAAAGAAAAAATCTTTCAAAGGGAGAAAGTCATATAAAAGCTACAATGCAACTGAAAAGTAGGACTTGCTAGTCAAAACTTGGACAAGTGGGAATACTACGTATACAGATGTGACAGATATGTTAACGAACAGAGCTACCATCACTAAGCAGTACTGGCAATAAAGGCTACTGCTTTACTGGCTGGCTTACCTTGAATTACAAATCTGACTTGCTGTACCCATTCCTCTGCTTCTTTGGGAGTGGCAGCTGTAAACTATTAAACAATTATTAATAACTGCTAGCAGTAATGACAAAAACACAACTACAATTTAATTAGCAATAAAAAAGAGGGACTGTATCATTCTCGTCACTTCCTCAAGAAACCATTAGTAATTCTTTTCATGTCTTCTGGTACTTTTCTTGCAAGGATGCTTCTTATAATGTACAGCTAATTTTGACAAATTTACGTAATTGAAGGAGAGGATGATGGATTTGAAACTCTGATCAGCAGCTGGCAGCTGTGCAGAAAAAAGCTGCTTCTCTTCATCAATGTCAAAGCCAGAACTGATGAACAAAATTTGCCCTTGACAATTAGAAGACACCCATGAATTTCTTTAGACTGCTGGGTACAGTTTTCTTAAAAATGTTCTTGTCAGACTCCAACACGCTACCTGACAGCTTAATTAACTGGCTTTCAACTGCAATCTCAGATATTTAAAACTTATTAAACTTACATTCCATACTGATGTCTAGCTGATAGATCTCTGAATTGCACAGCTGATATGTGCCTTTACGTAGATTTTCCTTGCAAAGCCATGACCAATATAATGCGTATTTAACACTGATATATATTTTAACTTTTTTTTTACTATTTAATTCATCCAAGAAATCATGCAGACACACTATACAATAGATATTAAAATGCTAACACTGAAAAAACCAATAGATAAAGATGACAGATTTCCTTCCTCTTGTCCAAAAAGATAATATTTGAACACATACATACATATTTTAAATCAGATTTTTTTCCTAATATATGAACATACAATATAAGCAAGTGAGGGTTTCCTTTTTTCATTAAGATGTCAGTGAAAGTTGTTTTACTGAAATGTTAATTCAGTAACTGGAATTGTAACGGCTTTATCAATTTTATTTAAAGTCAGCATAAAAAAGTCCAACCTGATAAATGCGCTTATCAGGAGCAGAGATTTCAAAACAGCAATCTTTCTTTGCATCCTTCCGAAGGCTATTATTCATTCTGATGGTGTAGCCCTCTAAGGCAAATTCACCTTTCTGTTGTTTGTCTGTTGGAGATAAAAAACAAAGTTAGAGCTTCATTTACAACAGTGAACCTAAGTGGCTCAGCAGGTTATCGTTTATTCAGATTTTGTTTTCCATTTCATTAATTTTACAAAGAACAGGGAGATTTTTAGCAAAATGATTAAGTGATGCTTCCGGAGATAAAACTTTACTTTAAAGGAAGATGTACACAAAAGTACATTTTTCTGTAGGATGTCTAAGGAATTCCACAGGGGGATGTTTGCAGATGGTGGTCTTATTTAGTAAGAAGTGCATGTTATGACACTTGTATCTAGGGAAAGCCAAGAACTGGAACTTGCAAGACATGTTTCCTATAAATCAGTGTCTCTTTCAGGTTCAGTAAACCAATAGGAAAAGCTGTCTAGCTTAGAACTTGCAGAGCTCCCTCCTAAACTAACCACTTCACTCAAAAAAAATAAACTTCAACCTCCTTTTTAAGCAATTGGAAAAGCTTCTTTTCACATTCTCCCACCCACTACCAGATGTGCCTTCTTTCCACATGGCAGAAATACAGAATGAATTTAGTTATAAATTCAGGTGTGTGTTCCAAAAGCATTTCTCTCAACACAGCAAATGTTTAATTAGCTAATAAAAGTACTGAGCCCTACCCCAGTTTATTATGTAGAGCCATGTGGTTGTTTTAAAGACAATTCTACTTTTCAGAGGATCTGGTTTATAAAAGTATCACTTAGAACAGGCCTGAGTTTAAAAGTACTGCATGTGGGCAAGCGGCACCTGTATGCTCTTTCTGAGCTCTTCAGACCAAACCCTACATCTGATTTTATGTGCTCTGGCATGTTTTGCTGAATATTAAAAACAAACTCAAAAAGTAAAAGCAATTCAGTTTTGCAACTTCTGTAGATCACAGTGCAGCTTTCAAGTGAAGATAGGGATCATCAGTCACATTTTGCTCAGGCAAACAAAGAACAAAGTGCAGTTGCAAATGAAAGAAAATGCCATTAAGTGTGGGCTTTTTTCCACAGTAGAGAAAAGCATTAATTAACAATAAACATCAGGTACAACAGCAAAACTACTTTCAGTATTGCTGAACCTAACAGAACTTAGGTGCAAATCAAGCATCTATTACTTATGTTTGTCAACAAAAGGAGAAAACTTCTAGAGTAGATAAAACAGGAAAAACTACAATTTTCAACATAATTTTGTCATCTTTCTGGAAATTTAATAGGAAAGCAAATCCTTTTTCCACTCCCGAGAGGGCAAAAATTTGCTAACGCAGCAACATGAACATCAGTGGACGTAAGGGAAGTCACCATACAAATACTCTTGCTAGTAATCTTACATGCACGTAGACACAAATTCTTTGTCCTTCTACCTTTTTATGAACTCTCACTCAGGGCAAAAAAATGCCAAATAACAGAATTATATGAGAAAATCCACGGCACTCTTCTATTTTCTATTCTAGTCCCTTTCCCCACAGTAAGTTTTATTATGTCTTAAGTACTAATGATACAGTACTAATATTTTATATTTGCTCATTTGCTTAATCCTCCACCCTGTATCAAACATCATACTGATTCATGGAATCGCACCAAGGCAGATATTAGAAATAATAACTTGCAATAGGTTAACTAGGTCCCCTTCTAATGAAATCCATTTCTGTCTAGAAATTTTATTGTTCCCTCACTTGTGACCTGAGGGAGCAGATGAAGTGAAACACATTAATTTCTCACTCTCCCATGCTGGAGGTTTATCAAAATCCAAGAAGATAGGAGCACGCAGACAGAATAAACAAACACCAGGTTCAAAAGGTAAAAACATTTTGTCAAGATAAAAATGAGGCAAGTATTCAAATTTAGTCTCTTGGATTATTTCTGAAACTGCTTCTCTGTGGCATGGATGATGCCTTTTATGGTAATATAGTTTTAACAGAGCTAATCTCAGATGATCTCTGTACTCGTATTCATTCTTACAAAGAGTTACAGTTCAAACACGAAGATGCTGTACTCTGCACTGGAAGGGGAAGGTGGTGCATGGTATCCATATTGTATTTGATTGTTTTATCGTTTATACTGTCTTATCTCTCTGAGCACACTGTTGCAGTGCTAAGTGCTAAATGAAAATTACCTGTATGCACCACCAAAAACAAATATATATCCCTTGCTATTAAATTCTTTCACTAACAGACTAGTCATAGCATCGCTACTTTTTTTTCTAATTGTGCAGTAAAGTACCTCTGATAAAAGCCCAGTGTAGCATTAGGCATATGCTTAAAATGTTGACCATGAAGAAATTTTAAGACAGTGAGACACTTCACAGCCCTGACCCAGGACCCAATACAGTCGAGAGAAAGACTCTCAGTATGCATTCGCACTCCCTGTGGCAGCAAGCCAGAGACAAGACCTAGTATGTCCTGAGAAATGGCTCCACAAATACAGAATGGCAGGACAGAGGTCAGCTATCGCTCAGCTGCACGCTCGGATGGATTACAAGCAATGGAAGGCTACAAATCCCAGTTTGCTTTCCAGGTAGGAGTGGAGACCAACCCCATCGCCTGATCAGCACGGAGCAAACCGTGACTCACGGTAGCTGTCTGGCCAGGAGCAGGCTTGAAGGCAGGGCCAGCTCGTGAACATCAGACTCAATGATCATCTTGACTTAATTTGTATCAGCAAAGGCTGGCAGCTAAATAGGTGTGCCGGCAGACTTGGGCTTTCAGTTTAAAGCTGCTCTGTGAAGTTAGTGCCACAGTGACTTCTGCGGACTTTCACATTCAGAGCTACACTGTTTATATCAGAAATATTTTCTGGAGACTGTGCTTTAGGGAAAGTTAAACAGTTTTTTAACATTTAAAAACTTAAAATTAGATATAGTTGGTTTTTATGGCGGGAGCCTTAAAGGTAGCTTCAGGAAGGACATTTACACTACAGGGATTTTCACTTTCCTTTGAACCACCAAATCTGAACTGGAGTTTTGCCTAGGCAGGAATACAACAGCATATTTAGGAGGAACTAGGGAGATACATGCAGATGGAACACACTTCTCTGAAGAACGATAATATTCTTGCTACCTCTCATTTCCTCAAGATAGGGCTTTGCAATTCAACAACAGGAAATCCTTAAGTTGTCCCAGAACAACATAGAACAGAATTGTAAAAAGTATAACACTATCAGTCTTCTAAAAACAAAAAGGATCCCAAACATCATCAAGTGTAAACTGTTCCACAATTAAATCAAATCTCATTTCAGAATAAGCTGTTCTTAGCTCTCATCTCCTCTTCCTCTTCTCTTCTCCCCATATCACGCATACAACAGAAAAATAAATCTGGGTCTGCGTAGACGATTTTGCATCAAGAATTGAGAATTGTAAAGAGCTAGTAGAGTAAAGAGTCAGGCAAAAAGTATTAAAAAAAAAGTCAAAACTAATACATAGATATTTGAGAGAAGTAAATAAGGGGGACTACATTTAAAATAGAGAAAATAAAGATCTGAATGAAATTTGAGAGCCACTTTAAACATTTTTCTTGCATATAAACTTCATTCATCCTAAAAATAGTGAAATGTTGTTAACAACGGAAACAGGGCCAATATTATATTGGGGAAAAAAAGAGTCTCAAGGGAAGCAGAGAAAAAGGGTTTTGAAGAAACCTTGCGTAACTGAGTCCATGGGAACTTTTAAAACAAAGAAGGGTAAACCTTCAATGGGGTCTTGAAATGATTGGGTTGTAAATTTGAGGCCTAAGGCAATGTGCCCATATTATTAGCACATGTAAAAAGAATTAGTGCATTCTGAAGAACAGAGAAGACTTGGATAGTAGAAAGGAAAGAAGTTACAGAGAAAGGCATAAGGAACAAAGGCAAATAGAAAGATTTCAAAGAGTGATAAAGTATTTATAGATACCATTAGAATCTATAATTTAACTCTCTTCATCTTGAAATTAGGAGCCAGTAAGATCTTACGGTTTACATGGCTTCATGCTAAATGTAGTTTCACATACTTTTCCATAAGCAGGATGTCTGCTTTCTAAAAATAGTAAGTGTCAGTATCTCCAAAATGGTAATTCCTTTTCCAGCTTTTGGAACAGTCCTTTCCAAATGCATGCGTAGTTTTATCTGTTTAGATAGCAGATCTGAAATGCAATCAGTTTTTTTTTTTTTCTTTCTTTCCTTTAATTTAGTCCTCTGAGAAATATAAATTTAAAAAATTAAGAAATGAAGGCAATGATTGAAATGCATTATTTAGGGCACCAGTTTGTTTATATTCAGTTTACTTCAGGCCTCTTGAGGTCTGCATTTAACATTCTCACAGCAGAAGATTCAGTACTCATTAGATAGATGCCTTTGATTGCCATCACCCTGCTACAACAAAGTCCTATTGAACATTCACAATTCCTGCAGATTTCAGTTATGGATTCTGTCAAAAGTCTAAACTAAACAAGGATTTTTGCCTTTCCTATGTGGTTGTTCAGAGAGGGAGTACTAAGAGAAGGAGGTCTATAGCTAAAAGCCAAATGATACTAAAATGATACTTCAAGAGCTTTCCATCGGGCTTGTATATCTTTCCTCACTCTTACAAGGTGAAGTTGGCATGGTTAGCATGTGGCATAAATTCCAGTAGCCTGGTTAGGCGATTCATTAGGACAGATTTGCAAATGCAACTCTAACTAGGCTTCCCTCTCCCTTAATATTGTTCAGTCACCAAGTTCTTCAAAAAAGGCGAAACACAAAATAAAACAAAACCTCTCTTTTGCACAAGTTCATCCATTTACCTGGCCATCACTATCTTACTCTTCATAGAAATCCAAAATTTTCATGTCCATGTTAAAAATAAAGAAAAAAATATTTAAAAAAATATTTAAAAAAATAAACTCAAACTTTTCTAAAAGCCTCCGAATTATCCCCCTCTTTAACATCATACTATTGTCAGGCAGGCAGATACCATTTTCAAGTTATAAAAATTAAAATAAATTTTTAGTGCCCATTAACTGGGGAAAAAATTACTATGATGATATCAATTACTGTCTTGCCAAACATTTAGCTGATCTCTCCAGTTTGCTGAGACAGAAGGGCATATAACATTGTAGCCTAGTGAGGAAGGAGTAATGAAGCTGTTAATTCTTTCATTTATAAAGCAACAAATTAACTTTCCTTCTTCCCATGCACTTTGGGGTCTGAAAGGTTAGCCATACCAAGTAGGTGCCTGAGTACACAGGAACTGACAGAGATCATATAGAAAAAATAATATGCAAACAGGGCACCCAGCTCATGATGCAACTGCATAGAGGCAAAGAAAAGAGAAGGGCTATAAAAAGTTTATGGAAGAAAAGACTATGAATAGGAGGAACAGGCAAGCTTCTAGAAATCTAAGCCAGCTCTGACATTTGAATACAATTCTCCGCAATGTTGCGGACCACATGCTGGTGACAGATATTGTAGCACAAGCTCCAATTATTGCGCGCTTCCTGCCATACCTATTTGTGACCTGTCATCAGGTCAAACCTTTAAGCCTTGTTCCTCCATCTACTCCACATATCATTGATCAAGGAAAAAAAAAAAATGTAGGTGATTTGCTTAGACCTGTCTATATTGCAGGAATAAATAACATTGTTTCACTATCCAATGCTGCACGAAATGTACAAGAAAATAGAGCAGGAAACAGGGAAACAAGACATTCTTTAGCCTGCAGGCATCACAGCTGTTAAAAGGATGCTTGTAATCTCTTCGGCGAACACACAAACACATACACAAACACACAGTTATTTACAGTATTTTCACAGGCTTTAGCTTGTACTATATTCTCCTGGACTAGGCCTCCTATTTTTCATCGTTCAGCTCTGAACAAATGATTCTGAAACTTTTCCTTACATGTGTTAGTGAGCTTTATACACTTCCACATATCTTCTTGTTTTCCCAATGTAAAAATGAGTAAGTTAAAAGAATTAAAAGTCTTTGGGAAACAACGAATCCACACAACCTAATAAAAAGGCATCCTAAAGCCTCACATGTAACATTCAGTTACATTTACACAAATATTTAAGCATGAAAATCAAACTTAGCCAAGAAAACACACACTGAACCAGACACAAAATATCCACCACCGATTATTCGCCTGTGTGTCTGGTTTTAAAAATATACACAATGCAAAACAAGCCAAGCAAGACCTTGAAATCCCTGCTGCCTCTTTGCATTACATCCCACAACACACAGGCACTAGCACTCCCTTACCCATTAATGTGACCCAGGCAGCAGGACTGAGCACATATGGAATCCCCGTCTCCCTTCAAACAGGGTTCACATCGATGAGAGGGAATTTTCCTGTTGTGTGCATCAGCCCTGGAACCTGTCAGAAACCAGGGCCCAGCTGATACAAAACATCTGGCAGACACTGGATAGGCTGGGGCAGACCAGCATCGTGTAGACAGACACCATCCCAGTGATTCAGGAGGTGGCAGCAATTTGCATGAAGCCACCCAAATGCACACTTCACTGCTGTTCTACAGTTGGTAAGAACACACATTGATTTTCTACATGGTCCGAGCTATCTGGTACAGCATCAAGGGTCACAGGAAAAGAAGGGCCCCAATACAGAAGCATACTAAGGCAGGTACCACTGCCAGCTGTAACAGTAGGAGTCAGAACAGTTTTAGGTTCTTCCAGTGACTAAATGCCAGATCTCCTCAGTACAGTCTCATCACACACCTCATCCATGCTGACATCTGCAGCTAAACAGCATGATAAACAGCAGCACATACATTCACAACCAGCAGGACAAGAGCTCAGTTTCAACAGTAAACTAGTTTGCCATGAAACTACAGCAGCTGCTGGTTTCTGCACAATGACAGCGATTTGCTTCTGCACTGGAACAGGCGCCTTGATGTACTGACATCAGAGGGATGAAGAAAGCACCTCTGACCAGTCTAGAAAAAAGCTTTCTTCTTCAAAGGTAAGTTCTTGAGTGACTGTTCATCACCCCAGATCTGTAAAATGAAACGATTCCACCATGCCGCGGTATTTTTTCTGCATTAACAGCACCACTCACATGGAGGTAGGGCAGAAATTCATGCATCTGATTTGTTTGCTTCCTTCAGGAGCTACTGTTTGGAGTCCAGTCATGCCTATACAATTCCCATGGACTATGTGCCTCCACGGACCATGTGCCTCTCCCACATCATGAGGTTACCATTAGGAGAATCTTCCACAAACAATCTGCAGCCTACAAAAGCTGTAAATATATAAGCCAAAGCATCTGTCTATAGACCCATAAAGGAAAGGGATCCCACAATATATCACAGTCAATCCCTAACATGACACCAATCTGTTGAGTGCTAGGGAACGTGCCTCCATGTATCTTATCTTTCAGCATAGGTATTAGAAGTTACAGTGCAGACTAGATAGTCAAGTTGTTGCAAAAGTTAAAAAAAAAAAAAAAAAAGAAAAGAAAAAAGAACGATGGAAAAAGGGTAGGTTGACAGTTTTCCTGCCTTGATCCAAAGACCATATGCTAGAAAGTATAAATAATCATTAGCATAGACACGAGAAAAAAAAAATTAAAATACTAAGATTTTCTTTTTTCCCAAAAAACTAGCAGATGAAAAGACAGGATTTAAAAACCCAGAATGATCTTTAAGAACTAGTAATACAGTCTGACCGAAAAATTTGCCATGTTTTAAGTACTAGGTAATGTATAATTATATATAAACAAAAGTATAAGATATTTTTTCAGAGAAAGAAATAAATTATTACTGACACATCAGTGTTATGCTACACCTCCTCAACATTTTGGAATAAAGATTGTTTACATTTCTGACACTTGATCAATCTATTAATCCCAAGTAAAGAAGAAAAGGGAACATTTAGCAGATATACTAACCGTGGAAACACAGAATATGATAGAAAACTGTAGCTAGATGAAAACTGGCCTTACAATTAGACCCTTATATTATTTCTTTTGTTTTTAAAGAGAGGATGAGTTTAAATGAATCACCATATTGAGTAATGAAACAAACTGGACCACATTAAATCAGTCTTTGAATAAAAACCACAAAATAACTACCTGCACTAATCTCAAGTAGAATCACCCAAGCATAAGCAGAAGGAAAAAAAAAAACTTTCATGGAAAGTTTGCCCAGGAATAAGTATTTTTTGGGGGGAAAAAAGGACATAATTGCACTTCTAATATTTAATAGATGTATTTCTGTACCATTTGTTTTACCCTTAAACATCAAACGCACTTGGCACATAATTTAAAGGATATTTTATTTGACCGTCAATTTTAAAAATTTGAAGTGATATCCCAACATTTATGACAGATTCTTTCTAAACTAGCCATTAAAAGTTAAAAGTCACCTTTAGAAGTTAGCTTTAGTCTCCATGACTGGCTTTTAGTTAAATATGTTACTTCATTTCTATCTTTTCAAGACATAAGCTATTTAGAAAGAAACAGGGAACTCCACTATGTGGTTTTTAGACTCACATTTTCCTGGATAGAGCCATATTTAAAGAACTTGAAATGTGTAATTGCTAGAGGGTGTTTTAAAATTAAAATCCTATTTGGACAGAAAGAACATTTTCTGTCCTATAAATCAACTGAGTACCAGCATACTATCAAACCTAGAAGCTAGCTGTTACTGGCACACAAAGTAGCTTTACAAGTAACAAGCATTTTTCCTCAGTTTCCCTGCTTCAGAAGATGAGCACATCACTTCCAGATTCTGAAGAGTACTTACACATTTATAAAATTCACTGCGGTGTTTAAGAACCAACTATTTTTTTTAAAGTTTCTTTCACTTTCTTAAAAGTCCATTAGATACCCAGTTTCCAACTCCACTAAAGCTTTCATATTCTTCTGTGCATGAAAAGATCATTTTTATAGTTTATCGTAATTATTATAATTACCTTTGTCACTTCCATAATAATAGAAGACCGTCTTACTGATAGCACACCAACGCTTCTGCCATTCAAAGCCAAGAAAACTGTGGTCTGCAATTAACATAATATATTACTTTATGCCATTATTGAACACAAATATGTTACTTCTTTTCAAGGGTGAGTTACGAGGGTGGAGGAAACAGGAAAGGCGCTAAGGAAAGGAAACAAAATCTGGATATGGAGAAACGTATGGCACTGAGAAGGAAATTAGAAATAAAAATTGGTGGTAAAAAAAACAAATAGGAATTTGAAATCATATGAAGAGAGAAGTCATGTGTAACATTAAATATAAGGAAATAATGAACAACTTCCTAAATATTTCCTAGAGTTATTGCAGCATTAAGTGGGTATTAAAGTGACAATATAAGATTTATTGAATCAAGGTAAATATTGACTGAACCAAAGCTGAGATCAATATTTGCCCTCTTGAAGGAAAATAAATCTTGATGCTCACTGAAACATGAAGTCAACATATGGTACTTTTACATACGTTCCTAATGTTTTCTTCAAAAATATCTGGAAGTCTCTGAATTATGGCTGACTGGAGTTTCAAAGCATGATTTTTTTAGTCAATAAAAGAAAAGGATTTTTCTTTTAATACTACAGAAGCAATTATGTGCTGTACTTCTTTTGCATACTAATGCTTCAACATTCCAGCTTCTCTTCCATTTTATTTATCACTCCTGTATAAAGTTGTTTGTGTGTATAATATCAAATACCGACACACAGACCTCCCAGATATAAAATATAGACTAGTTTTCATACAGATACTTAAACTTACCTTTTCTGCGTTTTTCCAGGTATCCAGCCTTCAGAACAAACTGAAGATCCTGAGCTGCAATAGGAGGAAACTGATTCCCTGAAAGAAAAGTAAATTCTGTAAAGCGCTGCTTTTCAATAAAAATACTATAGTAGCATTAATAAATTTATGGATTTTACACTCTCAATATGCAAGAGCTACTGCGAAAAATAATTCTAGTAACTACTATGGTAGATTATTTTAAGCACAAAATCCCTCTAACTATAAATGTCAGAGCTGTTGCTGCTGTCCTCACTAGTTGCCTAAGGAACAATATAGCTGTGCAGCAGGCCCTGCAAGTCTCAGAAGGAAAAAATATCTAACTAAACAAGCTACAGCAACACAGAAAACATTTGTTTGTGTTTTGAACACGGTCTGTAAAGCAAGTTGGATAATGAAAGCAGTAGTGTTCAAATGTGCAAACAAAACTAAGTATCACAATTCAACACAATTAAATCAGGAATGCAGTCTTCAATACCAGCTTCATACACAACCATCTTGAAAAAACCTGTAAGGTGAGGATCCTCTACTACACCACCTACAAAAAAAGAAACCCAATGAAGAGATGATAAAAGGCGATGGCTGCTGTTGACAGACATTGTGTAATTTGCAATATGACACAAAAGTGCTGCCTATAGGATCTATATGGCTGTACTGGATAGACCAAAGACATTGCACAGAAGTCTACAAAATTGTTGATGTACAGATACTAATCTTAGGATTTGTAGAACATGGCTGCATCTGCAAAATGGTATGTTCCACTGTATTTTTTCCTTTTTCTCAACTGTTAATTCATAGCTAGAAGCATGAGACCAATCAGTGGACCATGACTCAACTTAAAACAGAAATCTAGATGTTAAAAATTGTGTCTTCCATCCTGCATCCTACCCCTCCTAAAACAACAGAATAATGATTTAAATGGAACTCCTAGCAACAAAAGCTATTCTCGTGCTGCTGGTTTTTTAAGTGCATGTGAGCATCACAGTGAAGTTCCTACTACTTATTATCATCAAATATTCATAAGAGTCACTATAGGTAGGTGGCAAGTTTACAGGGCAGCAATTATTCATGAAAATATATGTAATCTCATTAAGTTCTACCAATACAAGCATACAAAAAAGGACCAATATCAACAGACAACCCCTGTGCTAAAACACTTCAAACTATGCAGTGTGGGTTAAAGATCAGTTGTCTGACCTTGAACCAAGAACACTGTCGCTGAAAGGTGATACCAACTTCTTGGACTTTTAGGTTGTCCGTTAAAATAGATTATTTTTTTTAATCAGTGTTCTCAAATTAGTTGGTTTATGGTTGTCTTATTTAAACACAGTTGTGAGAGGAAAAATACAATAGGAACATGCAGAGAATGTTCTTTTTTGAGGTATGAAAATACTCAAAATTAGAATGCATTCCTTAAATAATACAACTGAATCTTTAGACAGCAAAAGATTTTGTTGGATACCATAAGATAGCAGACAGAATTTTATATACATTGACATTTCCACTCAATTTTTTTCATTAATAATCTTTTCAAAGATTAGGAATAAACTATTATTTCAGCTTCTGTGGAATTCTTACTACTGTGTTAAAAACACAAGTGTTATTGGCTCCATGTGCATGCATTATAAAATAATGCAGCTGTCCCCCCTTGCTTGATAATATGCAATCGCTACACGTTAAGTGAGAATTTAACATAAAGACACGCACTGGCTGGTACATGGTAAGTTTAAGAGTTACACAAAAAGATGATCTAATGATGATATTATGAGCGGAGGAGGTGAAGTTTTACAAATATACATAGTGTGCTGCTTTATATTGGTCATTGGGAGGCATCAGTGTGCAACACTTACAGCTTCACCTCAGCCAGTAAGGGCTGGTTTTAGAACAGTGCATCCCCACAGATGTGGAAGACATAAAACCTAATTAAACAAACAAACAAACAGAACCACTCTTTAAATTGCTTAATTAGAAATTTCCACCACTCTTTGGATCTAATTTTATACATTATTGTTTGTATCAGTTTGGGTTTTGATGAGGAAGCTTGGCAAGTGAACATTTAATGAACAGTTAAATCAAACGGGACATATAGTCTCACAGAAGCACATACTTTGGGGACTCATTAATATTATTCTGCCTGTAGGTAGAAACTCATCTGAACTGACTACTTCAAAGAGTCAAAATTCCACCCTCAGTTTTGCTACTTCTGCTGAGACAAGTCAGGATAAATTTGATGATGGCATTTTCTCAAGCTACATTTATTTTGTATAGGGCATAGAAAGTTTACAAGGACAAGAACCTGCCTGAAAAAAGGCAGTCTTTCACTGTTGTGGTGACACTGCAGAAAGAAGTCCTCCTCCCACCCTCAGCCTGTAGAGAAGGCAGTTTCTTTTTCTGTTCCTCAAAGCAACTGAGACAGTAACCCCATGAAACAAGCAACAGCCGGTCAGCCCCACTGCCACTCACAATCTGTAAGTAGCTGAAGCAGAAACAGATCACATGCATATTATCATCCTTCTGTCAGAGAAGCCTGGGAACCAAAAAATATGATGGAACTTTAGTGGAAGGGCAGGAGAAACGGACCCAACTGTAATATCCCAAGACATATACAGCTGTACATGAAAGAAAAAGCATAAATCTGGCTAAATTCCTTCTTTCATTGCCCTGTTGCTCCAGAAGGAAGAGGAGGGAGAATGAGTAGTATGAAAAGTATAAAGAAAAGAGAAAGAACCACCTCCTCTCAGATTCTCATTAACCACAGGTGTTGTACATATGTGGCAGGAAGAAGGCACAAACACAGACATACTCTTACCTCTGTGCTCCAATAAAATCAATGAGGGGAAGAAGAGAAAATTACATCTTTCTTACAGCCACTGCCTAGAGTCAGCATGAAAGTCTCCTAAACTGTGTCATCTCTGTACCTGTCTTCTATTTTTTTTTTTTAATTACTTTACCTTCTTGTCCACATCTCAAACAGGATTTAGAGTGAACTGCAACTCCTAGATGTGGGAACTCCCAACTGAAAGTTTGAAATTTGCACAGCATGTGTTTTTTTGCAGTTGCTTTCAATCAAAATGTTGTTTCCCCATTCACTTGAAATAGATCAGGCTTGGCACAAATCTCCAAAAAAAAATTATCATTAAAGCAGCACTTTGTTATAGTAAAGCAGCATTTGTTTACATTACAGTAGCAGCTGAGATCAGAGACTCATTATTTGACTACTGCATGGGACTTTAAATAAGACGGCTCCTTCTACAAAGAGTCTATTTAACACTAGAGAAAGACTGACAAGAAAGAAGGCATTACTGGGTTTGGGGTTTTTTTTAATAAAGAACATGAAGCAAATTAAACAACTTGTTTCAAATCACTTTAGAATTTAGAGCACTAAATTCCCAAATATTGTACTCCCATGCATGCCGCAGGATGTCTTCAGGACAAGGAAAATCCTCACGGATGTAGATGAAATGGCCTGATTTTCAGCTTCCTCTAAGTTCACTGGAGATCATCCACTATAAGAAATTAGATGTAGAGATGCAAGAAGATTGTATCCTAAGGATGCAAGATAGCACCTAGTGGTATTAACTTTCTTGGGGGTGTCAGTGTTTGTTGCTCAGATATTTACGGTACACCTGACTACCAGATCCAAGCAAAATTTCAGAATTTCTCTCCCAAAATCAGACCAGAAGAGACCACCGTGTCTTCCTACCTACTTCATACCCCTGCATGGTCTGTTTCCAGATATGTCTCAAGGATTTAGAAACAAAGATGTTAAAAAGGCCGGTAGTCTCCCCTGGTTTCTCCTTTGGAATACTGTCATTTCTGAAGACAATTTTAAATACCAAAGAGCAAAGTGGCACTGTGAGTCAAGAAGTGCTCTGTGGCTTGCAGCTGTGTGAGTTCAGGGGTGGAGAAAGGTACAATGAATGATCCTGATTACCCTTCCAGATTGAATTTCTGCTGTATCATTGCCCTGACAGTGGTGAGCAAGCACTGAGTTGAGGATACAAAAAAAGCCTCCATTCCATTCCTGAGCTTCTACCTCACAAATAGTGTCTTGAACCTTATTATTTTGATGTGAAGATCAGATCAATATTATCCAGTATTTGGGGAGAAGATTACCTTGCATCCCCAATACACAGTACAAAATGAGGGAGGTCCATCTGCTTAACATTAAAGGTTTTCCTTCTTTCTTGACCACCCACTCACAGATAAATCTCCCAGAGTAATTTCTCTTCTTATCCTGGTGGGAATTACTTCAATGTACTCCAAACTAAAACGTGGAAGCTATGCTCCACATGCATATTCCCAGACTGATGTGTATAAAGGCCATCAAAGACCAGATCAAAATATTTATAAGGTCTAAACCCTCAAGTCTGAGAGAAAAGTAAATTACATATATAATGCACCAGGTTCTTCCTCTTGGTTCTAGGCACTCTTGTGCCAAGTGAGCAGCTGGCAGTTATTATAATCCTATCACTGCCAGGCTGAAAATTCCTCCAGTGAAAAGAAAATTAAATGCTTTCACTCAAGCATAAAGCCAGCTTTTCTACCAGTCATGCTTTGACTTCAGAAAAACATGGATGTTATTACATAGGTGTATTAATGCACAGGTTCCACTGCACAAATCCCACAAATCCAGTGCATCTTGTAACTTCAGAAAGACCCCAGACTATGTTATGGTTACAATTTTTGCAATTTGGATAATTGGTCAAAAGCCTGAATGATAGAGTTTTGCACCCTACTGCAATAGTGAGTTTGGCCCATTACTTAAAACTAGTGCCATCGGTGTCACTTCACATGATATAGCATGAAATTCAATGATTAGGCATAGCATTTTAATTTTTGGAGGACCCAAAGGTGTTAAAATTTCATTCTGTATACAAAATAAATAAGCCAAAACCAGGTTGTACTATTCTGCACTGTATACCAATAGGAGTATTTTTTATTTTCTCAATGTGGGCTAAGGGATACATAAAGCAAGAAATAATTAGAGGTCAATGCATTCTAAAGAGGTGCTTAGCATGCTTATGGGGAGTTAAACAGGCGAAGTGGAGATAACTGTA